TTTAAAATTTGATATTTAAAATAGATTTATTGGTAAATGGGATTGATGCTATACTCTTTTGGAAATAATTTGCTATACATAAGTATTTGTGTTAGTTACCACTCTTAGTAGTGAGATGTTAAACAACTTATACTTACATAGTAAGAACAATTCATATTTTTTGGGCTATTTCTGGATGTCTTTAGAGTCAGACTAACTACAATACAGGCTCATTTACTCGAAGAGCAACCAATAGCTAAAGAGAGAAGATAGATCTTAAACGATTTTTTTATGTATGTGTGTATGTATGTATATGTATTTGGTAGAATCAGCTATATATTTCCATATGTGTAATCGGTTATAATTAATCTTCAATGCTACAAAGCTGAATCTGAATATTCGTTTCTAGATATGGTACATAAATATTCCCAATCATTAAGGGGTAATCGATGTTTAACTGTTTGCATATCTTTTGAAAAAAATAACTCGAATGCTCAGACTTTCTCATAAAAAAAATAAACATGGAATGAGAACATAAAGCTAACAACATTTTTATTGAAAGAAGTAATAATGAGAAAATATGTTAATAAGCAGCATTTATTGGATTGGCTGTCCGTTTCAAAAATTAAATCTTTCAATCTAGTGTAATAACATAAAATCTTTTTTTAACGACCGCTTTCGAACTTATTTGTTTTGCTTTTTGTTTATTTGTACATACTTATTTCTCTTTAATTTCTTGCATTTTTATTCATATTTATTGTTATCGTCTTTTCATATTCTATTTTTATACATATAAAAACGTTTTGAACATGAAAATAGTTGCAAATACTATATGTGCTTGTAAATACTATATAAATAAAGGAGTTCGAAACTGACATTCTATTCATACATGTGGTTGCTATGAGATACACTGCCTTGAACTTATATCTTAATACTACTTATCGTCCTTTTGTTCTGTTTTGGAGGATGTTTTTTGTAGTTTTTATTAACGGATAGAAATACGTATACCTGTAGAAATTATTTTGTACAATAATTTACTCTGCCATAAGAAAAAGGGATACAAATACTTGTATAGTATATGATGTCTGGAAATTTAAGATGAGGCGTCTGTTGTATAGGCGCCAGCTGTATACTTGTAGTTCCGAATCGATTTGTTTTGGGTACGACGCAGTTGTGGTTCATTCCGGTTGGGTTCGGTTCGGTTTGCAATGCATTTACTTGTACTTTCCAAGTTAGTTCTGTAATGTATGTCGAATGCAAATCTTAATTTACATCTACTATACATATGTATGTGTCGCTAAAAATAGTTGGACACCGGCGAACAATTAGGAATTTGTTTTTAGAACTGTCGCTTTGGGTTTGCGGTGTGTGTTTTTGTGTGTCTGTGGCTATATATAGACATCGTTTTAAAGTTTGGCAAAGATTTTGCCATTTGCGGCGGGTTTTTGTTGTATTTTTGTTTTGTTTTGATTTTATGACTGGGGAAAAAAGCTCATTATTTTTATTTTTTATTGTTGTAGTTTCTGTTATTGCCTTAGGTCAGGGTGGGGCCGATTGGTTAGTTAGTCGCCGGCGTCGCGAATTGCACGACTGCTGTGTGTCCATTATTGTTATTATTTTTGTTATTGCTATTACGTATTGTGGTTTTTTCGTACTCTCTGTTAGCGCATTTAAAGTGCGGCTCATTATTTACGGCCGTAAATTTCGCTACAGATATTATGAAATAACTCACGACCTTATCTAACCAATTTCATTTATTTAAATACATGTTTCTTACCCGACTGGGCGTTCTTATTTAGTTTGTTTTTTCTAGCGTACAATACGTATATTATTTCTATGTCTGTGTGGAGCAAAAACCTGATAGCGATAGCTTCACAAAACAAAAATCCTCCTTTACCCTGTACCCAAAAGGGTGAAAGGTTATATAGAGAGTCTAGACAGGTAGAAGCCGGCGTAGCAGATGCCATATTGTAAGTTATACATATGTACATGATTAGTATGACAAGACCATTCGATTCGTGTGTTCGTCTGTATGAACACTGAGAACATTTAAACCATAACACTAAACTTGGTCTGTAGATGTGTCTTATTGATATTGATCAACAGCTTATATCAGAACTGGAAAAAATCTGAAAATTTACTCTTAGCACTATAGGAAACTATAGTGCATTCAATAATATGAAGATATGAAAATCAGTGGGCTATATCATATAGCTGTCCTATGAACGATTAATAGTTGCATTAATAGTTGAAGCGCTGTAGCGGTGAAAATGGTTGGTTTCGATCGTTTCTTTAGCTAGACTAAATCTTTAAAAATAGGAAACGAAAATAGTATTTCCCATATACATTTATACATAAAACAAAAATTTTAGAATAGAAGATATAACCATTCACACGGACGGACTTACCTGCTCGACCGTACTGAAACGAATAAGATTTATTATGTGGGACTTGGCACGCCATCAGCTGTTGCAGATGCTTTCGAGAACAGGGTATGATGACCCTTTTCAGAAGAATATATAAGAAGGAAGCATGAAAAAGTTTAAATTTGTAGTATGGGAGAGCACTTATGTACTCAGAGGCTGTAATTCTTAGAATCACAAAATACTATATAAACACAGACCATCTACCTGTAGCCAGCATCGGCTCTAACGTTTGGAAACATTTCCAAAAAATCCGACATACGGCAGAGCTTGTTCAAACGCTTCCGTGTTCTGGTCTCAAGGTATTTTAGCGTGTCTTCTCTTGGCAACCAATACCTCCAAAACCTTCATCATCAGAACAGTCACCACCAGCGGTGACAACCACCAACATACCTATAGATGTTCGTATGTATTTACATACTCACACATTCTGCCGCCGACCTACTGCGCCACTCTTTCGATTTCTGGCAACAAAATAGCAACAAAAAGGAGGAAAAAAACAAAATGAAATGAAATGAAATAAAAATGTGTAAACGTTTGCCGCTGGCTGTCTCCGTCGAATACGAGTATGTCGCAGTTGTCACGTTGGATTGAAAAAAGGGAAAAAGCGAATTGAAAAAGTTGAAAAAGCTCAATAAAAAATACTTTGCGAGCGATCATCGGCTGTTATTTTGTGTGCCTCTTTCGTTGAAATTTATTTAATGCATACGAGTATGTGTGTGTGCGAGATATACATACATATATTCACACACACACGCATATACCCGTACATACATATAAATGAATATATTTTAATTGAGTTACCCGACAAGCAGCTCGCGAGGCAATCGACTCATTTTGTTTACCATGAGCGCTCATCTCTTAGGGGCTCTCTCCAATTTATTTATTCCTACTCTCTCCGTTTCCCGCTCTCTCTCTCTCTCTCTCTTTCTCTCTTTTGTTATCAAAGAAAATTCTGCGCATTACAAATGCATCTCACATATGGCGAATATATTCAACAAACATCGACCAAATATATAATTTTTATTATAAAATTCCCCAATTAGTCTGCAAAATGAAAGAAATCGCCGAGTGATAAGATATTTGCCTGGCCGCGACATCAGAATGCGACAAAATATGAAAGTTTAAGCGGCCAATGGCACAGAGTTATCAATCCTAGCAATCGTAATTGCAGACGACAGCTCGACAAATGTCAATAGACCTTTAATGCAAAGTCTACATATGCAAATACTATACATACAAGTATGTACATGCATATGTATTCTATTGGTGTGTGTTCTGCCTTGATTTAGCTTTTATTTTAATTACCTAGTTTAATTATCGCCATCATCGCGACAATTTGCACTTTTAGGCTAAGCTGTTGATAACCGCGTGCTCGACCTATAACAATTCTTTTTGAAGGCCTTCTATTATAATATTGTAGTGGTGCCAGATGCTGGCTTGCCATCGAATACAAATACCAGTATCTTTATAGTTTCAATATTTATTTTTATTCTTGCCTGCTGCTTGACCTGTTTTAGTTTATTAATATCAATTGATTTTTATTCGAAGAGCAGCAGAGCTTGAGCATAAAGTTGGTGAACCGTATGTGGAACAAGTTCATAAATTACATTATCGCCAATGCATGCAATGGTCCAGCTGATACTAGCAGTATGAAAAGAGTTTTGAGTCTTCATCACATAAATACTTGTAGTGGGTTTGCGCAGTATTCGAATGTACGGGTATGCACTCAAGCAATAGTCTAGTAAGCTTTTACTGTCTCTTAACATGTTTAGGTTTTCAACATGAATAGAATAATTCCATCGTGATCTCGTGATGATATTGATGATGATGATTGATACTAAACGCGGATTTTTCAAACCCGCTTCTTAGCGTTCCCTTAAACTGTAAAAGGAAACTGGTGATGCTTGAAGAAATTGTATGTCACTTGATAGGGAAAGAGAAACCGTTAAAGAAAAACGAGCTCACATTTTTGTCGATATACTGTTTGGGGAACCCTCTTAAGATTTACAAATCTTTAACTCAACTAAGAGTGTACGAGTTTCTGTTCTTAAAGAAATAAGTTGGTAAATTATTCTACAGACACATCTGCATGAACATCTGCTCAGATAGCTAATTTTAAAATGGTTATAAGTCGCCTGCTTCTATATGTATATGTTGCCCATAGTATTCGAAAGACATCTTGTTTTAAAACTGTTTTATTTAAATTGGCATTCCAGCAGTCATTACATGTTTGATGTGAGCTTTAGGCAAACAATTCGTTGCCAATCAAGTCCCCCTTATACAGCCTGGTGATATCTCGTTGAGAAGACGTTCACCGCCGCCTATAAAAATAATTACTTGAACGCAAAGTTAACGATGCTGATAATAATGATGATGAAGCGTTCGATCATGTAAATGAGTTGGCAGACTTACAAAAAATGAAACTCAAAAATTAAAATAAATTTTGCGGCAGTGCTGTCAATTACGTCAATTGAGTATTTGAGGCATACGCCTGCTAAGGTCGACAAGGTCACTAGCAAAAACTTAATTATTAAAGCCGCACATATTTTGAAAGCTGGACTTCCTTCACAACTTTCTTCTCATAACTCTTTGCAGAGCATATTCGAGTTACGAGAGCGAGTCTGCACCAAACCGCAAAGCTGCAACTCCACAACGATCTGTACGCCATCATGGACGGCTATGCGCATGAATGGCCGACGCCGCCACGCACAGACAACAGTGCTCTGCACATGGATCACTTAGTGGGGGACTTGCCCAGCGATGCGGGCTTTGAACCTCAAACACGCGCCAGATCAAATACATGGCCCTGTCCAAGACCCGAGAACTTCGTTGAACCCGTCGATGAGTTGGACAGCACGAAGGCAAGCAATCAGCAACTGGCCACAGGAGGTGAGTGAAGAGCCAATTTGGGAAATTCGGTTGTAAGCCAGCTGTAAATGATAACCAACAATAGTTTAGTTTCTAGAATGTGGTCTCATATCTAAATTTTTCTATAACTTAAAAGCTTTATAACCACATATTCTTTTTTTATGCGTAACTTGTGCAAACATTTTAAATAGTTTGTGAAGTTTTATTGCTTAAATTTGGCATTTAGATGCAATTCGGCTTTGAGCCTTAAAACAGGGCTTTGAGGTATAAAATATTCCCACTCTTAAATGACTTGCGCCTCTCCAAAGCTAACTTAACAACTGCTTATGTGATATTTGTTTGCAGACTCACAACAGGCTATACAAAATGCGAACGCGGCCAAAAAGAATTCATCGCGTCGCAATGCATGGGGTAATCTATCCTATGCGGATCTCATAACTCACGCCATCGGCTCGGCCACGGACAAGCGGCTGACACTGAGCCAAATCTATGAATGGATGGTACAGAATGTGCCATACTTTAAGGATAAGGGCGATTCGAATAGCAGCGCTGGCTGGAAGGTAAGTCATTTTTTGTCACAATTACCAAAGGTGAATTTAGATAAAACCACTTGAATCAGATTTTTAATCATGTGATACCTGGGAAGAAAAACTGCCTTTAGAATTAAGGGACGATTTGAAGAAGGATTTCTTTCTCCGTTTAATATTTGTATTTTCGATTCAATCACTGCATACATTTTTAAAACTGTTTGAAATAAGTCGATCACGTTTTAGACATACTAAAGATAACTTCTTTTTTGAATTTCAAATTCACTTGTAAATTCATATTTTTGTGGAGTTTCATGATTGGCTTAGCTAGTGAGGATTTTTTCATTAAGCCCATTTAATTCCTAACTAATTATTTAGGCATGAACAAATTTAGTTGGTAGAAGTGTTGAAGAATTTCTTATTACTTAGAATTCGTATTTTCTTTGTTAATAAGTTGGTTTAAAAGTTACGAGCATAGCAAATTTTTCCTTTTCAAAATTTGGAACGTATTCAGATGAGCGGCATTGTGTATTCCGAGTGCAATTTTTAAGACATTAGATTTCAATTCGTATCATATTAGGTCTTTTCATTTGATGAACACTTTTTATTATTATTGCCGTATTTATTGTTGGTAGGTTTGCATATAAACCCAACAAAAACGGTCAAGTTCATGGCCAAAGCGGTCGTATGTGCATGTGTGTGTGTGTATGTGTGTGTGTGTGAGCACAAAGAGAGTGAATGAAAGCGAAGGCTTGCTCTGCGCTTTTCTGCACTTTTGCGCTGTTTGGCTTTCTGTGGTTTCATTTAAGTTGTTTTCTTTATTTGTTTGTATTTTGTCTTGCACACATTATTTAACATCATAATCATCGCCGCAGTAGCTTTGTCATCGCTGATGTTTGTATTGTGGTTTCCCATTTGTTTTTATGTACTATGTATGTATGTATGTTTGTGTGTGTGTGTGTTATTTAATAAAGACATGCATTGTTACATGTGTTGCGGTGCTTCCCCTTTGTCTGCCACTGCCACAAGTTTCACGGCTTGCTCGTGTCTGCTGCCAGAAAGTTGCAATTAATGCGCTTTATCTTTTGAAATTGGTTTCATTTGCGTTTTGTTTACATCCATTCATACGTAAATAGAAGCAGCATACACACACACACACACACACACGCACGCACACAAACGAATGCATGTTTGACATACGAGTTAGTTTTTCATTCAGCAGCTCCGAAGGGAGCTCTTAAATACATAGCTGGACAAAAAATGAATTGCTTTAAAAATGACAAGAAATTTGCAAACGCATTTGCATCAGCCATTTCAAATGAGTTTTATTTGTTGTTGTTTGCATTACTTTAATTTATATTACGCGTTGGGTTTTTTTACATTTCTCTTTTCTGTTCTGCTGATAACATTTGGCGAACAAGTGTACATGCTCTATATACATACATATGTATGGATGCGTGTGTGTGTGTGTGATTGTCAGCGCATTAAATATTTTTTGCAAGCTATCAAAATTCTGAAGGGTCATTGACTTTTTATTAATGCTTGGATCTGCCAAAAAAGTTGACAATTCGTCTTTTTAAACAAATATCTCCAAGTGTTGTGAAGAGCCAGTTTCAAATTTGTTATACTTTTCAACAAGTGAAAGGAAAACATTTTACATTTTACTTATGTGTATTAATTTGGTTTATTATTTATTGAAAACAGCCTGGCAGCTTATACACACTTACCAACACATATCATATCATTTAAGTACATAAATATAATAATAGAAATACAAGTATAATAATAGCATTACTTTCAACTTGTGGATTTTCCAGTTTGAATCAGAAATTTAATAAATACATATGAGCAATTCTTATGCCGATTCACTGAAACATACCTTGTATTATGTATACATACATACATATATGTATGTACTATTTTTTTTATCATTATTCGCTATTCTTATCGCGGTTCCTATCTGCACTTCCATGGTACTCCGAGTACTGCGCGTGCTTCACGTGATTCTTGCCATTCTATCGAGTGTTAATATATATTTTTGTTTTTGCTGATTCTTATTTCTCCTACAATTTCGTACTAACTGCCAGACAAGTGGAATTGCATAGCACCCCGCAGTCTGGCCATTACCTTCGAGTTCAAATACAAGTATTGAAGAATGTGGCTCTAAAATAACTATAACTAACAGATACTCTATGCTCTACTTTGATGAAAGCATTTGGCTGGTAGCCCACAGTCTGGCCATTGCTTTCGAATTAAAATATTGAAGAATATGGTTCTTATATAACTACAACTAAAATATGATGTATGTATATATGTCGCTCTAATATACAAACTATAATTAACAGATGTTGTACTTTGATGGAAGCATTTGGCTGGCAGGGGAAAACACATCATGAAGGTCTCTTTTCTTTGGAATTAACAATGAATACTCTATGGTTGTTTAGAGGAAATTTTGGTGGAAGCTTACATTTGTGAATTAACATAAAATTTCGTACCTTTTCAATGTTTGAATAATTCGTAGCTCTGGTTCTGTTATAATACTTTTTTAGCTAACTTTTTAACCAACAGTAATTGATAGTAATAATTGCTGTTTCTCCGGAGAGCTGGTGCCAAAATTGTCCCAATATTGTGCTTTGCTTTGACTTATTAATAGTCCTTGGTAGCTTTCATCTTTACAAGTTTCCTTCGAAATTATACATAGCTCTGAATGTTCTGTTAAGTGTCACATACAACTGCACAGAACCGTACATACTCCGAAAACTATTTAGGGTCAGAGTAGCGAAATAAGCAAAAATTGCTGAGATGGCATCGACATCGGAGACCTTTTGCGCAGACAGCGCGATTCCAACGAATTGCGCGTTCAACTAATTCATATGTATATATATTTTGTTATTATTTTTACTAATGTTTTGTTGACGATTGTTGTTGTTTGCTGTTCCCATTCATGCTTACGTATTCGTTGTTATTTTCGCGGAAGTATTCAATCAGTCCCATATATTTGGTGATTACAAGTCTTTGATACGCCATCAACACGAGCAGCAACAGGAACAACAACAATCGCACACCAAAACAACAGGAGATAAGCATGCGTTCCAGGTTTTCGGGATCTGGTTGTAGAGTATTCCCAGAGTATTCCCAGGAAAAAACGGAGTCATTGCATAGCTAAGTGCTGATTGGTTTGCTATAGAGGGAAGAAAATACGCAGTTAGCATAAAATACGCGTCCAGTGCTCCGTAGCGTGTTAAGAGAGTGCAGAGTTGCGCAGAAATCGAATTCCACAGTGGGATATAAAGTAAATAACACAAACTCTTTAAAATTTCTATTGACAATAGGTCTGTTAGCTATAGATAAGAATTGAAAAAGATTTGAAAGAAAATATACGTATGTATGTAATTTGGAACAGCGGAAAACAATTATTTGGTGTTAAAATAAATGAAAAGGTTTACTAACTTTTAAGAGTGTTTTGAAGGAGGAATGTACTGTACTTACGTTCGCATACCAGAATCACCCAACAGAGGAAGAAGAACAAAACCACTCTGTAGGTTTTGGATCTTAGTTCAGGCTTACGTAATTGCTTCGCTTACAAATTTTCTTAGGATTAACCCATTTTCGATAAAGTTTAAAAAGAAGGTAGAGGGTTACACATAAATTAGGTGCGAGTTTTTTATGAAACTTTTGGACAATATTTATTAAATTCTGTAGCGGGAGAAGGGGCGACAGATCAAACTGATGAAATAATCTCCTATAAATAGGAGGAATCGAAAATGGAAGTTTGGTGAATTTGGGCGCAGTCGTTTGTGAAAAAAGGTGGACGGACAGCTGCTTGACTGATAACCTTATATAAAAGTATTCTTTGAGGAAGAATCTATAAAAACTCTTTCTATCAACTCAAACTACACTAAAGTTTAGGGGGGGATTAAAAAGTGACTTGAGCGTGATTTTGTTGACTTTTCAAATGATATAAAATAGGTCTTTACTTAACTATTAAACTAAAAAATGATATATATGTGCATAGTATGTTGAATAATATTATTGCCATTTTTTATTTTATTGAAATTTCAACGCAATTTCATTGCTTTTTAGGTTTGTTTTTCAAATTTGTCATTAAACTGGTTACAAATATCAGGCATTCTACTATATGCAATATTACCCAAAAAGCAACTAAATGGCTAAATTCCACAGTGGAATATAAAGTAAATAATACGAGTGAATATGTACATGCCCTCCTGATTAAGAATTTATATGATTTTTGGTGTCTACCACGGCCTCAACTGGATCTTACCACTACTGAACTTTTATCCATATAAAAATTTATTTATGGTTATGGTTAAATAAATTAGACTACATTTTTTCGTTCCATACCACTGTGTATTTGTGAGAAATAAAAGAAGAAAAGCCAAACAAATAACTGAGCACCTATGTATGAATGTATATATGTATGTTTGTATATTCTATATGTTTGTATGTATGTATGTACGTAGTAAAGTACACAGTTTGTTGCCGGCAGCGGCATTTATCTGTAGGATATTTTTAGTGCTGCAGTTTTCCGGCTTTGCGGAAAGGGACAACGACAGTGCCATCATCGGCTGGCATTCCTTCATAAATTTCACGGCACACCGCCATCGTCGCGTCAATATGCATGCAAGACTGGAGCTAATTTATGCTGCACGTTTCAAGCGATGGGCAGAGAGCTCTTTGCAACGCCTCTCCAATCGCTCCAGTGCACCAAGCAACACCTTGGAGTCCGGGGACCGCAGACAGGCGACATTTCCCCTTCAATAAGGCAAGCGCATAAAAGAAAAACGATACCTCAAATGACATTTGTGGAATTTTAAACTTTTTCTTTTCATTAGTATTTCTAAAGGCTCGCACTCGAATCCGCTGCCGGGGCTGCTTCTTCATCGCCTTTCAGCGCCAGCAACGTTTTTTGGCCGTTGAACTTGTGCCAAGATTTTTTTTGCCCCCACTTCTGAATAATTTCAAATTGGCAGCGTGCGATGTGAGCGACGCGAAGTGTTAAAAAAAAACGTATA